ACGCTTTTCGGAGCATGCGCAGTGCTCCTTCTTCAAGACGGATGCCAAAGACTAGGTGGAGCCAAATAAATAGGTAAAAAGGGCCGGGGCGGGGAGGGCACAGCCTGAGGAGACTAACTTGAATGCCCCCTCCCAAGACCAATCATAACAATTAGAACCTACATCATAACAATAGGACTCACCTGCATCATACACGCCCCACTCATAGGCAAAACACCACTTCTTCCCTCAGTATACCCCCCACCACTTTCAGGGGCACCAATATCCCTATTGACTCATCTAATAATAATACTTCCTGACAATCACCTCCTCACCCCAAACATAGCCCTCCCATCACTCCATCCACCCCAATATTCCCTCGGCTTCCTTTAGTACCAATACACATAACAATACCGTTCACCTAACAAATGCTATACCCAATTCCCAGATTCAATCATCATCACCCATACCTGTCTCCACTACCACAACCTCTATCACGAAGACTACTCATGTTAAAACCATTCCTAGTTCCGGTCCTTCTGTTTCCACGGTGTCTTTTTTTAGGACCAAACTCCCTCCTTCACAGACCTCCCAAAATAAAACTTGCCGTAGAGGAGGGAGGGGAAGAGGAGGTCGACCCAAGCTCGCACCCCAGGAAACCATATCTTCAATAAAAATATTCAATCTATTCTCCCATCTACTCACTGTAGAAGAACATAGCCTACTCAGTCAAGGCCTCTCCTTTGCACCTACCACCCAACTCAACCCCTTCCAGCTCTTTCAAGATCACCATAAATTTATACGCAATATTATACTCAAAATATTTTACAATATCAAGAAGGCCAAACTAGATCCATCTCCTGACACTGAACACAACCATACAACTTCATCTTCCAATATAGGCTATGCTCTAGCTCTAGAACTGCTACAGGAACTCTATGCTGAGAGTTCGGAATCCCGATATACCCCCACTATCCCTGAGGATGACCTATCTATATTTACTCAACATCTTCTACAACAACCCCCCCCCCCCCCCCTCAGTTACGGCCTCAATCTAAATCTCAATCCAAAGGGCCTTGTATAGAGGCTTTCTACAGAGCTGTTTATGCAGATTTAAAAATGTGTAATCCCTCCAAAAAATCCATATTTAAGAAACAAAACCTTACTGCCCCTGAACAAGCAGCCTTGCAGACTCTCACCACCAACACCAGTGCAGTTATAAAATCTGCAGACAAAGGAGGGAGTATAGTCATCCTCAACAGAACTGACTACATCACTGAAGTGTCACGACTATTATGTGACACACATCAGACTTAAAAGTGACCCATTAGCAACATTCCAAATTGGGGCAAAAAAATTTAGTCAGTCAGGCCTGCCTCGATAAAGTCATCTCCCAAACCGAGGCCTCCTTTATTATCAGAGACTATTACCACACTCCGTATTTTTATTACCTACCAAAGATCCATAAGAGCATCACACATCCCACCTGGTAGACCCATAGAGGCAGCAATGAATAGTGTCACCAGTGGATTCTCACTTTACATAGACACCTTCTTACAACCTATGGCACAAAACTTAAAATCCTACATCAGGGATCGTATACATTTACTGGAACATATCACCCTGAACTCCTGGGAACACACCTACCTATGGGTTTCATTAGACGTCCAATCATTATACACCTCCATACCACATGAAGTTGGCATCAGAGTTCTCTAATTTTTTTTTATCCCAGGACTCTACAAGCAATCCCAAACAAGCCCAGTTCATCTTGGATGCCACATTATTCTGTCTAACTCACAATTACTTCCAATTTGATGGTGACTATTACCTTTAAACTCAAGCCACAGCTATGAGCGCTAATTTCGCCCCTTCATATGCAAACTTAACCATGGGATACTGGGCGTTTTTACACATCTGGAACAATAATTCACCTTCCTCTCACATTGTTTCCTATGGCAGGTACATCGATGACATCATCATCATTTGGAATGGTGATGCTGAGCATGTTCAACAGTTTGTTGCCCACTGTAACGCCAACATGGGTTTAACATTCACCTCTGTGATAGATCAAAACACTCTAGCCTTCCTGAACCTGCTCATGTGTCATGAAGACAACCGTATCTTTGCCAAAAATTATTCCAAGCCAACCGATGGCAATTAGTTTTTACACTACAAAAGCTGTCACCACCCCAAGCAGTTGAACAATATTCCTAAAAGTCAGTTTTGTAAACTTTGACATAACTGTACTAAACTCCAGGACTATCAATTATAAAGCATTACCCTTAAAGACAAATTCCTGGAAAAAGGATATCCACCCGCTCTCATCGATGAAGCCCAATCACTTTACAATACAGGTCCCAACAACACCAGTCGTCAGGAGAGAGTAACCCCACCATCAGGTTTACTACCCAATTCCACAGTCGTCACATACATATGGAAAAGATAAGAAAGTAAGAAAACATTGGGCCCTACTTCTACAAGGCCCATATCTGCTCAACAGCATACCTACAAAACCCAGGTTTGCCTATGGGAAAGCTCGTAATATCAAAAGCAAATTAGCACCCAGTAAACTAAAATCCATCAAGCCAGACATTGCCCCCCTTTGATTATTCCCTATCTTTGGCATGTATCGTTGAAATAAACCTCTCTGTCTAACATGCCCATTTATCCAACATGGTCAAAAAGATTTCCACATAAAAGGCAAAACATACAAGATTGCTGCATTCCACACATGTTCTTCAGAATTTGTGGTTTACTGTCTAGCATGCCCCTGCGGCTTATATTATGTAGGTAGAACCATCCTTATTCTACATAAATGCTTTGGGGAGCATCGCTGCCTCATCATCGAAGATGGTACTGACAAAACATTTTCTTGAACAGCATGGAAAATCCACTAAAGGATTAAAAGCCTGGTGTAGCTGGCCATCTAAGACCAGTCCTAGGTTGCTAATATGGTTCACATATATGTGTATACCAAACCTGCCAATAACCTCAGTACAGTGTATATGGGCACATGTTAAAGCCAAAAGCAGAATCATTGCTGTAATTTATGTCTTTGATTGTTATATGACATTTGTATATTCATTGTGTTAGCAGAAGCAGAAAAGGAAAATATGCCTTTAAGAGTTAGTATAAGGTGAGCCAATCACAGACAGCCTCACACTGTACAGAGCCTTAACCAATCCCAGCCAGTTTCACATTTATGCATGTGTAAAAAACTCCCTGCTAGAATATTTTTAGAGACACATGCTCACCAGACAGAGGAGGAAACAGACACAGTTCCAATCAGAAAAGCTTTATGGAGACAGAGAAGGCCAAATAGGTATTTAATGCACTTGTGTGTTCCTCTGTTTAGTAACGCAGGTAGATCTGTATATTAAAAACTGTTGCATGTGTGTTTACTTGTAGTTCCACCGAACTTACGAACTTATCGAATTTACGAACTTACGAATTTACGAACTTATCGAATCAAGTCACTGTAGAGTAATCATAATCGATACAATCTACCGAATTTAACAAATTAATCTAACAACATAAGCTAAACAAATCTAACGAATCTATCGAGATAAGCTATGGAATCAACCCAATGTAATACGAATTAAACCATTGTAATATGAAAGAAACAAGCCATTGTAAGCAGTGTTATATGAAGAAGATTGAAGTTATTAAAGAAGTTAACTAAAGTATTCGGTGTGTTCTTTAAACCTACTGCATCCATAGAGCGGCATTGGAGGAATTACAGAGTAAAGTCAGTCTAATCAAACAAAGAAACAGCAATTGCATAATTTTTCTAATGCCACAGCGCACTAGGCACCAAAGGGTGCTGCGCCTGCCACACCTGGGTCCTTGAAGCCATGTCCACTGACCTCCCCAGAGCTGAGAGATTCCAGCATTTATGCCGCAGGAAAACATACTGGATTTATACTCTGGACGTATTATCTCCTGGAGGTCTGAATGAGGACCTTAAGATTCACACAATTCTATAGAATTACCATTTCCTACCACTTTATATCTTTTGATTACAACTATATGTCCTCACAAAACAGATACAGTATCTCACAGAAGTGAGTACACCCCTCACATTTTTGTAAATATTTTATTATATCTTTTCATGTGACAACACTGAAGAAATGACACTTTGCTATAATGTAAAGTAGTGAGTGTACAGCTTGTATAACAGTGTAAATTTGCTATCCCCTCAAAATAACTCAACACACAGCCATTAATGTCTCCTCAGCACAGTTCTGTGCCGTTTTTTATCCTTTTTATTTTAATTATTGTTCTTTACTCCATTTTTTAATAGTCTCTCCCCCTTTCCCTATTCCACATCGTTTGGCCTCCGTTTTTTGGTCTTCGGGGGGCTTTCACATCCATCTCCTCAGGCCGTCCCCTCCCACCCCTTTTACCTATTTAATCGGCTCCACCTAGTCTTTGGCATCCGTGTTGAAGAAGGAGTTTTGCGCATGCTCCGCAACACGTCACCATTCCACATCACTTCTGGTTGCGGTCTCCCGGACAGTTTGCACTCCGGCATGCGTTCCTGCGACCCCAGAACTTGCAGCGGCCATCTTGGACATCCTATCCTCAGCTCCCCCTGCAGCTGCTGGCCGGCACAGTGGGTCCTCGCACGGTGGACAGAGCCCCCGCATCCTGACGAATTTACTGAGCCTGTTTTTACTGCAAGTTTGTAAGTGTTTCTAACGGTCATCATTAAAGTTCATCTGGATATACTGCACATAGAAGTTCAACATACTGAACCCTCTTACTCCTACATTGTCCATTATCATAGGAATCTAAAATGTTCAGCTTCAGCCTTTCAATCAGTTTTATAATCTGCTCAGCTCCAAATCCACACAGTTAAGGCATACATTTTATGTTACAGTAAATCAGTTGTTAAATCAACCCCAGAGTATCTTCAAAAATGTTCTTATGTGCTATGGGTAGGTTTTGTACAAAGTACTCTCCAAAAATTAAACCTATAACCTTCCTGTAAGAAACCAAAAACAGAAAAAATATACCTCAAATAGCCGCAGATCAGCAGGAACTCTGTCTCCAACTGCCAAGCAGACAGTGTCTCCAGGCACCAATTCCCTGGCAAGGGTGTGCTCCTGTCTCCCCTCTCTTATACTAGAAAAAATAAAAATGTTTATGTTTAAATACCAACCACATCTTGCTACAACCACCTAACCAGCATAGTTATAACACAACAGCATAATAATAATTCCTACAGGATTAGAGTGATGTTAAAGGCAATTTAAAAAAAAAAACAAACATGTCATACTTACCTGCTCTGGGCAGTGGCTTTGCACAGAGCACCCCCGATCTTCCACTTCTCAGGCCACCTGCCTGAGATTCTAGCCCCTCCCTCCTGCCTAGTGCCCTTAGAGCGAGCAGCTTGCTATGGGGGCACCAAAGTAAGCTCGCTCACAGGCTGCAACTCTGCGTGTCTATTCACACACAGAGCCCCGGCATGGCCTCACCCCCTCTCTACTCTCACTGGCTGTCTCAGCCAATGACAGTCCCTGGAGATCCAAGGCTCTTGTGCACATCGCTGGACGCGATGGGGCTCAGGTAAGTATTAGGGAGCTGCTGCGCACAGAAGGTTTTTTACCTTCACGCATAGAATGCATGAAAGTAAAAAAATCTTGAGCCGTTACAACTACATCCAGAAAAGGCAACACATTCACTAAAATCATACAGTAGAGACTAAAGCCACCTTACTGAACAAATTATGACCAAATAACTATACATTGCAATGAACATACATTCCACTGGCTTAAAATAAAAAAAAAAGTAATAATAATAATAATAACCTTACCAGTGACATTCTGGTGGTACCAGTTTGCTTAGTTCTTCCAAGGACTTCTCTGACCGGTACTCCTAAATTGCAAAAGTATTAAAGTATTAGATGTATGTAAACATACATATCCAACAGTCAAACACAATGTCAGGAATTGAAGCACTGTTGGAATAATCTAGTTTTAAATATACATTAAGTCAGCTTAGTTACCGTTTTTTCCGGCGTATAAAACGACTGGGCGTATAAGACGACCCCCTACTTTTCCTGTTAAAATATAGGGTTTGGGCTATACTCGCCGTATAAGACTACCCCTCTTTCAACGCACACCAAATAAAAATTAAAAAATATCAGATTTGATTTCAATATGGTATTTCAGTATAGTATTCCAATGATGGGGTGCTATTCCTCCCACTGACACCAATGATGGGGCACGATTCCTCGCTCTGAAACCAATGATGGGGAACTATTCCTCCCACTGACACCAATGATGGGACACTATTCCTCCCACTGACACCAATGATGGTGCCCCATCATTAGTGTCAGTGGGAGGAATAGTACTCCATCAGTGTCAGTGGGAGAAATAGCGCCCCAGCATTGGTGTCAGTGGGAGGAATAGCACCCAATCATTGGTGTCAGTGGGAGGAATAGCACCCAATCATTGGTGTCAGTGGGAGGAATAGCACCCAATCATTGGTGTCAGTGGGAGGAATAGCACCCAATCATTGGTGTCAGTGGGAGGAATAGCACCCAATCACTGGTGTCAGTGGGAGGAATAGCACCCAATCATTGGTGTCAGTGGGAGGAATAGCACCCAATCATTGGTGTCAGTGGGAGGAATAGCACCCAATCATTGGTGTCAGTGGGAGGAATAGCACCCAATCATTGGTGTCAGTGGGAGGAATAGCACCCAATCATTGGTGTCAGTGGGAGGAATAGCACCCAATCATTGGTGTCAGTGGGAGGAATAGCACCCAATCATTGGTGTCAGTTGGAGAAAAGGAATAGCACCCAATCATTGGTGTCAGTGGGAGGAATAGCACCCAATCATTGGTGTCAGTGGGAGGAATAGCACCCAATCATTGGTGTCAGTGGGAGGAATAGCTTACCCCCATTCATTGGTGTCAGTGGGAGGAATCGTGCCCCAACATTGGTATCAGTGGCAGGAATCGTGCCCCATCATTGGTATCAGTGGCAGGAATAGTGCCCCATCATTGGTATCAGTGGGAAGAATAGTGGCCAATCATTGGTATCAGTGGGAGGAATAGTGCCCCATCATTGGTGTCAGTGGGAGGAATAGTGGCCCATCATTGGTGTCAGTGGGAGGAATAATTAGAATCCAACCACCAGGATCACTTTTTTGGAATTTTTTGGGCAGCCTCTGTGTTTATGTTAACTCCTCTCTTCTCAACATATAATTTTAGTGCATCCTGCTACTGATCAAAATGTAGGTGTGGATGAGATCCATTTCTGTAGAATGAGTTTTCAAGCTAGATATAAGGACCTTACCCATAATAAATTCATATCAGTGGGAAGTACCTCCTCTGAGATGATGCTCAAGAGGGCAATTTTGGGGTCCAATGGAACCAGAGCTGAGTAGAGTAAATTAAAAGTTTAAATATGGACGCCCAATAGTAGTGGAGCTTAGGGTAGCGCCATAACATGTGTATCAAATCCTGAGGCTGAGGAGCATCTAAGGCACTACACAGATAGAGTTCTCCCCCAAAGTGAATGCTGAGTCAGGCGTTGTGAAGGGGAAAGAGAGACCTCCGGTACCTGATCCATTCCTCACCATTCAGTGATGGTATGTCCTGTTTCCAGCTATGAAGGCTGTTTACCTGGATGGTATGTCCTCCAGCAGGTGACTGGTGTGAATGTCTTTGACTAAACAATCAGAAACAGACTTCATGAGGGTGGCCTGAGGGCTCGACATCCTCTAGTGGGCCCTGTGCTCACTGCCCGGTACCATAGAGCTCGATTGGCATTTGCCATTGAACACCAGAATTGGCAAGTCCGCCACTGGCGCCCTGTGCTTTTGACAGATGAGAGCAGGTTCACCTGAGCACATGTGACAGACGTGTAAGGGTCTGAAAAAGCCGTGGAGAATATAATGCTGCCTGTAACATCATTCAGCATGACCATTTTGGTGGTGGGTCAGTGATGGTCTGGGGAGGCATATCCACGGAGGGATGCGCAGAGCTCTACAGGCCAGACAATAGCACCCTGACTGCCAATAGGTATCGAATGAAATCCTCAGACCCACTGTCAGACCATACGCTGGTGCAGTGGGTCCTGGGTTCCTCCTGGTGCACGACAATGCCCGGCCTCATGTGGCAAGAGTATGCAGGCAGTTCCTGGAGGATGAAGGAATTGATACCATTGAGTGGCCCCCACGCTCGCCTTACCTAAATAATATAGAACACCTCTAGTACATCATGTTTCGGTCCGTCCAACGCCAACCGGTTGCACCTCAGATTGTCTTAGAGCTCAGTGATGCCCTGGTCCAGATCTGGGAAGAAATACCCCAGGACACCATCCGTCTCATTAGGAGCATGCCCCGATGTTGCCAGGCATACATACAAGCACGTGGGGGCCATACAATCTACTGAGTACCATTTTGAGTTTCAGCAAAATGGACTAGCCTGTTGCATCATTTTTTCGCTTTGATTTTCGGGGTGTCTTTGAATTCAGTTCTCTGTAGGTTGATAATTTTCATTTCCATCACATGATGGGGCATCCTTACGTTTCTAACACATTATCCAGTCCATATCAGTATAGATATCCAGCATGATATTTTTTCCCACTGAGATCTGATGTGTTTTCAGTGTTCCTTCAATTTTTTTTTTAAGCAGTGTATTTGATAAAGGAATCTGATACCAGACCTAGATGAAAGCACTTGAAATATGAGAATTTGCAATTGCACTTTAGGATTGGAGCAGCATTACTCTTTGAGATTTAAAATTATTAGGTTGTTGGGTTATCCCAATAGGACGACACAGCAGCAGCAGCATTGATTTAGACACATACATGTGTGTTTACAATGTTTATTGATATTTTTCATTGATTGTAATATTATTATTATTTTGATTAGTTTTGGGTCACACAGGAGTAACTGAAAGTTTTTTTGCAATTGTGTATATTTTTGAAGGCGCGTAGGATTTATAGGAGTAAGTACCAAAAACATGGTGTGGTGCAATTAATTTACATATTATTTATAACTGCTCATAAACTATTGTGTAAAACTGGGTTGAAATTAATCTGTTGGGTTTTTTTTCAGGCACGCTTAACATGATTGAGAGGGCGGGGAAGACTGGGGGATGAGAGATGGCGGAACACATTTAAGTTTCATCTACTGAATCCTATAACAATAAGGCATTCTACATAAGAAGATTTCCATTTCAGGCTATTCTGCCATCACCAGTGCAATGTATAAAAACCTTAGATTCTATGTAGTAGGACTTGGAACCCAATGAGACATTATACCACACAGGTTATGGTGTCAAGGAACTAACAACTTCAAAAAGCCCTCCAACCGAATCAGTGCATGACACAGTAAAGTCTTCTTAGAACAGAAAATATTTGTATGTCTCAATCCATTATACATCTCAAAAATAACAGAGCTATTATTTTATTTTAGGAGAGTGGGTGGAACCATGAAAATATTTTTTTTATTCTCTAAACAGCAAATTGCACATAAGAACCATTATTAAGTATTGCCATTTTGGTTGTTTTTAGTGGACAACTACCTGGGGTGTCCACATGTATCCTCCTTTATTAAATAAGCCACTCAAAAAGGAACCTAGAGGACTCTGGGAACAACTGAGATCACTACAACAGCTATGGCAAAGGGAACATCATTAAAAAAAATATATAGTACTGCAACATTTGGAAGGTACTTAAATATACAGTATCTCACAGATGTGAGTACACCCCTCACATCTTTTCATGTGACAACACTGAAGAAATGACACTTTGCTACAATGTAAAGTAGTGAGTGTACAGCTTGTATAACAGTGTAAATTTGCTGTCCTCTCAAAATAGCTCAACACAGTCAATGTCTAAACCACTGGCAACAAAAGTGAGTACACTCTTAAGTGAAAATATCCAAATAGGGCCCAAAGTGTCAATATTTTCAGTGGCCACCATTCATTTTCCAGCACTGCCTGAACCCTGTTGGGCATGGAGTTCACCAGGGCTTCACAGGTTGCCATGGGAGTCCTCTTCCACTCCTCCATGATGACATCACAGAGCTGGTGGATGTTAGAGACCTTGCGCTCCTCCACCTTCCATTTGAGGATGCCCCAACTCTTTTTTTCAGATCCTTAGAGAGTTGTTTGCCATGAGGTGCAATGTTGAACTTCCAGTGACCAGTATAAAAGAGTGAGAGCGATAACACCAAATTTAACACACCTGCTCCCCATTCACACCTAAGACCTAGGGGGGGAATGGCTAATGGGACCCAATTTGGACATTTTCACTTAGGGATGTACTCACTTGTGTTGCTAGCAGTTTAGACATTAATGGCTGTGTGTTGAGTTATGTTGAGGAGGATAAATTTACACTGTATAACAGCAAGCTGTACACTCACTACTTTACATTGTAGCAAAGTGTCATTTCTTCATGAAAAGATATAATAAAATATTTACAAAAATTTGAGGGGTGTACTCACTTCTGTGAGATACTGTACATAAAATGTCAGATGTTAATGTGGATAATCACTATATTGCCAAAAGTATTGGGACGCCTGCCTTAACACGCACATGAACTTTAACGATATCAAAGTTTTAGTCCGCAGGGTTCAACATTGCATTGACCCAACCTTTTCAGCTATAACAGCTTGAGCTCTTCTGGGCACACTGTCCACAAGGTTTAGGAGTGTGTCTATGGGAATGTTTGACCATTATTCCAGAAGCGCATTTGTGAGATCAGGCACTGATGTCGGATGAGAAGGCCTGGCTCACAGTCTCCGCTCTAATTCATTCCAAAGGTGTTCCCATCGGTTTGAGATCAGGACTCTGGGGTGGAGGAACTTGTCTGGCCTGCACAAACTGGCTCATCCATGTCTTTATGGACTTTGCTTTGTGCACTGGTGCGCATCATGTTGGAACAGAAAGGGGCCATCCCCAAACTGCCCCCACAAAGTTGGGAGCATGAAATTGTCCAAAATGTCTTGGTATGCTGACGCCTTAAGAATTCCCTTTACTGGAACTAAGGGGCAAGCACAAGCCCAGAATAACAACCCCACACCATAATCCCCTCTCCACCAAACTTTACACTTGGCACATTGCAATCAAGCAAATACAGTTGTCCTGACAACCGACAAACCCAGACACGTCCATTGGATTGCCACACAGAGAATCGCGATTCATCACTCCAAAGAACACGTCCACTGCCCTAGAGTGCAGTGGTGGAGTGCTTTACGCCACTGGATCCGACGCTTTGCACTGCACTTAGGGGTGTAACGCTTCGATGCAGCTGCTCGGACATGAAAACCCATTCCATGAAGCTCTCTACGCACTGTTGCTGTGCTAATCTGAAAGCCACACGAAGTTTGAAAGTCTTTAGCTATAGACTCTATAGACAGTTGGTGACTTCTACGCACTTCAGCATGCGCTGACCACGGTATGTCATTTTACATGTCCTATTACTTCATGGCTGAGTTGCTGTTGCTCCCACTTTGGATATTTATGGATTTAACTATAGTTTAATCAAACAAGCAGGCAACTGCGAAAACAGGTTGGGTTGTGAATAGCAGTACTTATGCCAATGGGTTCCGGGACAATCTAAATGTGGCACGCTTGGTCACATGACATACAGCAGTTCCTCACTGTGGGTAACTAATATCAACAGAGACCTTAAATCGGAGCAGGTCACATGATACAAACAGGAGCATGACAGGACTTGCTGTTGGCAGCCGACGAGCAAGTTTCTGCTGACTTTCACAGTCCCACTCCCCTGCTAATGCCTGTATGTTTCATTAAAGCTGACAATCTACAGTTTTTAACATTAATCTGCTTATATAACTTGTGTTCTCGGTGGGTCTGTCAACATGAACCAAAGCTACCTAATCTTGTTCGCAGAAGGTTCCTTTTTTGTTTTTTTTTTTTTTTTAAACTACCATTTGCTGAGATTTTCCACAGAAGGATGAAATAGTTTGGACAGATCTCATTTCTTAATTAATTCCTACAAAAAGTAAATTATATAATCACGTCTTTACCATATAACATTGGCTGCATGAGGACAACCCCACTATGCACACAGGCCATGATATTAAAGCAGAAAAAAAAAAATAAATAAAAACACCTTTTTCATACCAAAACCCTCCCCCCACCCCCTCCATGGAGTAAAATAATTGACTTGGCTTTTTTACCCTGGAAGGATAGGTTATTTATTTTTTTGGATCCAGCTTACCCCCTCACGCCTGACTTCTTCTGGGATATGCACATCACATATCCCAGGAGGTTCTGGCTTCCGGCTACCTGAACACAAAAGACAGCCAGCTTCCGATGAAGGCAGAAAAATTAAAAGAAAAAAAAGATGGCCCTGGGGACCAGGCGAGTGAAAGCCAAGTGGTAGATCATAACAGGATTTGCTGGGTGGGCGAATATGTGAATTGGGGATAAAAGATAAGAATAAACCAAACACAAACTACGCAGATACAAAGGGAAAGCAAGCTTCCTCTTTAAGTTTCCACTTACAGCAGAAGTAATTAATTATGATAAAACCGTCATATTGCAGGCACTAAGCAAATATTTCATAGCATAAATACATAGGGGAAAAAAAAAAAACCTTACCTGAACAAAGGCAACTGTGACGACAATGAGTATTGCCTGCCAAAATACAAAACAAGGTTAAGCTATATAAACCTTTATGATTATCTGTGCCAGTGGCAGGATTAACTACCTTCACTTGAAATTCCTGTAACATGCTGGAAATGAATGAGTTCCACTTCTCTAGTGTTAGCAGATTACCACTTTAAAACCAGAAAAGAAGCAAAAACTCTATTCAACATATAAATGTATACGATTATTCATCAAATATGTCTATTCAACTACTAGTCGTTTGCCCAAAACTCTATTACAGTTACACAGGCAGCTTACTAATTTGCCTTAATTAAGCCAATAAAATGGTGCATGTTCTTCGAATCCTAGTAGTATGAGCCTTCTCTGCCGATAAGAGTTCATTATCAGACATCAGTACCACCAGGTTCTACTCCAGGCACTTTTAGCAAGCTAGAATGTAAACCTGCACAAAGAGCACCACGAAATAATGCAAATGTAATCAAAAATATGCCATTACTTCATCACAAAAAACACAAACATTTCTAACATTTTGTTTGTCACTTTCATGCCCGCTAACGTTGCAATAAATCACACAATGAAACTATTTGAATGTAAGAGAACAAAGTGTAAGAAAATGTTGATTCCTGAATATTCATTAGCCTGTCCAGAAATAACAGCTGAACAATTGTGAAGTGCTTTGACAAAACTGCACAGAAGTATGATTCCTTGCTTAGCTGAATAGCTAATAAATAAGCCAAGGCCGGAAAACCACAGCAGTCATTACAGCGTGCTCAGGGAGACACAAAACACTTCAGGGACAAAATGTTTTCTGCAAGTTTTCACAACAAATTGGCCATGTTCTCAAAAAAAAAAAAAAAGATTGCTGAAGGCTTATAAAAGATCTGCAATTATTTAGAGAAAAGGCAAGGGTCCAATCTTTTTTAAAATCAGACAACAAAAAACACTTATCTATGATTAGCCGAGAGAAGTATGTGTGCTATCGCTGTTACTCTCACCTACTGAAAATGAGGGATGTTTGGCTGTCAAGCTCCTTCGATGGCACAAACATGTTCAGCGCCACTGACTTAAATCAACAGTGCAAAATTAGGAGTGGATTTTCCTGGATTCCTGGTCAGGGACTCAGAAAAGACTGAAGTCAAAGAAGCATGAGAACCAGAAAACTAGCATTTTCAGAAGGAAAGGTAACCAAATGACAGCCCCATCTCTCACTACCGATTTCCTACAATTCATACATCATGTCTGAGTAGATGTAGTTAATCATGCACTTCTTTTTTTGTATAAAAACCAACAAACTGCTAAATTACCAATGCCAATAAAACAGTATTCAGAGGATTCAAGGGATCACTTACCACGGTGATACTGACGGCATCATCAAACTGATGCATTAAAATGCTGATGACAGCAGAGGCCAGCAGGAGCATAAGAAGTGGATTTTTAAACTGGAAAAAAAAAAAAAAAAAAACAGATAAATCAGCGGTGTAAAATATAGGTCAACTGAAAATATTTTTAATAGCGTCTATTGGCAGGGAAGTTTAAGGAAACCTCTGGATGTTCTAATCCAGTGTTTCTCAACCTTTTTCAGTCAAGGCACCCTTTAAAATTATGGACAGTCCCGAGGCACCCTGTAAAATTATGGACAGTCCCAAGGCACCCTTTAAAATTATGGACAGTCCCCCGAGGCACCCTGTAAAATTATGGACAGTCTCGAGGCACCCTGTAAAATTATGGACAGTCCCGAGGCACCCTGTAAAATTATGGACAGTCCCGAGGCACCCTTTAAAAATTATGGACAGTCCCGAGGCACCCTGTAAAATTATGGACAGTCCCGAGGCACCCTGTAAAATTATGGACAGTCCCGAGGCACCCATTCTAAAATGTGAAAAACTATTCTAACAGTTTTATAGCAACATCCACACATGTAGGACACTCAGCCTTAGAGGTGATTTATTCTTCCAAAGCAAATACACTTTTGCACACTGGTACTGAGTAGTATTCCAGCATTTCTCTTCTCCCTCAGTTTTTCTCCATCACCTGGGCACTCTAGTTGAGAAAGGCTGTTCTAATAAACCAAACCCTGTGGAACAAACAGGGATCCCCAGCTTATTGGTCTAAATTTTTGTCCACATCCTCCCAGCCTGTGTGCCTCCAAATGCCTATGAGGTGTTCTTTTTTTTTTTTTTTTTTTTTTGTAGTTTGTGACCAAGCAGAAGGTGTAGAGGAAGAGGAAGGCCACAAACACAGCCAAAAAGTGGTGGTTGTTACTTACAGCATTACAGAAAGTAGGTACCTGGGAGTCCCTTAAAATCTATTATTGCTGTTTGAGTTTCTGAAACTGGGAGGGCTGCTAATAAGACAAATTCTAACACCAGCCTTAATCACATGCACTTCACAATATATATGATTGGTAGGAAAAACATGGCTCCACAAACAATCACACATATGGCTGACATTGTTTTAAGATTAAATATCCAGAGTATTCATTCAAAGGCTGGATGTATTTCTTTAAAAATCACTTCAAAAGCGCAATATGTACCGTGTTTCCTCCAAAAATAAGACACGGTCTTAAATTTTTTTTTACTCTAAAGAAAGAAGACCTACCCCAAAAATAAGACCTAGTGTGTTTTTTTTTTTTTTATGTACAGGTGTGGATGGGGGGTGCAGAGGTGAGCTGCAGGCAGTTGTGGATGAGGGTTACTATAGAGAGGACCGGCTGATGACAGCTGTGAGCTGCAGTCAGGTGTTGCAGAGGTGAACTGACAGGTAGGTTTCAGACGGTGCAGAGATGAGCCACAGAAAGGGTGCAGAGGTGAGTTGCAAACAGGGGATGCAAAGGCAAGCTGTGGCCGCGGGGTGTAGAGGTGGGTTGCAACTCACTTCCCCTCCGCATCCCTCCACCTATGCACCCTGTCTGCAATTCACCTGTCAATTCACCTCTGCAACACCTGACTGCAACTCACGTTTGCACATCCACCCCTCCCTCTTCACCACCTTCATATGGTTAGCTAGCTTTGCAAAACACAGCTGCCAGCAGATGGACCTTCTCTATAGTAACTCTCATTTCGGGTCCTATCTTCCCACACAATGCACCAAGCGCACTCACTCACCGGTCTGCCTCTTCCGCACTGGCCGGCGATCACCCCTGGGGCATTGGCTTCCATGCATTAGTCTACAGGATGAGATGCCCCGCCCCTAAACACACTGCGTCCGCTGATATATGTTCCTTCCCTGTCCCACAGTGAGTACAGAGGTAGGGAGGTTCTGTGGGAGCGGCTGGTGCTGTCACTTACAAGAGGGACTGTCATTTGCAAACACAAAACCCACTCTTCTGTGTTTATAAGAGACAGTAGAAATTGGTGTGCACAGGGCCAGTGCCGTTGGTGGAAGAACCGCGTTCTGCCACATTCTGGCTGAAAAAATGCTCTGATCACAACTAGGTCTTATTTTCAGGGTAGGTCTTATACTTAAGCAATTCCCAAAAATAGTACTAGGTCTTATTTTCAAGGTAGGTCTTATTTTTGGAGAAACAAGTTAGCTTTGAAGAACATTGCAGCTTCAAAGTGGTTTACCAGGGTTACAGATGAAGGTATCAGCCATAACCCTGGTATTTTGTTTTTCAGCCAGCGAGTCTCTTTCTTATAAAAAAAAAAAAAATGATCCGAGCGGTTGATAAGCTGCTGGACCACTTTAAGAAGGCACAGGAGGGGTCCACAGTTGCTTGCCAGTGTTTCTCTGGCTTACCACTCTTACCGGTGAGCCTGGGAAACGATCTGGCAGTTTGAGATGCTGGCCATAGAGGTGAGGAGAGACCAGATAGTCTCTGATCACTTCTATGATATAGGAGGACCAGAGCAACATCATGACGTCACTTCCGGTCTAGGGCGGAAGTAAACTTTTTTTTTTTTTTTTTTTTAAAGCATGAGATCAGTAGGGGTTTTTTTTTATCTTTTGCTTTTTAAAGTAGAGGAGTGATCTGGGGTAGTATAGACCCCAGATCTCTCCATATAGCGTTCCTTTCATCCATTATTTCTATTACATAGGATGTTTACATTTACAAAAATTAAAAAAAAACAAAATTAAAAAAAGGGACAGTGTAAAAATAAAAATAAAATAAAAAAATGAAAGTGCCCCCATCCCTCCGTGCTAGCACGCAGAAATGGAATACCCAAGTTGCACAAGCGTATGAAAACTATGTTAGCACTACAAATGTGAGGTATAGCAGCAGGAGAAGCACCCTGCAGTTCAGGTAAGTGATGTTTCATATTACACTCTGAATACCTGTGCAATGTATTTCTTCCACAAAGGTTCATCTTCACCGATATCAAATTCATTCCATCCATGGGAGGCTCGCCTGTGACACACTTCAGCATTGTTTAAACCATTCTGAAGATCAGCCTGCAAAGTAAAACCTTATATAAAACCTGAATCTTTTAAATTACCTAGCGTGTAATTCTAATTTAAAAAAGGTAACATCAAAGAAGAAAATTATGCAAGCCTGTTAAGGTTGTCGAAATTCAAATTCTCTCAAATCCAGAAAATGTATGTCAAGCCAGAACTTTTAGAGTTTAAAAAGTAAGGAAGGCTTAGAACCCCTGTCAGGTTGTTACTTCATTGCAGGGCAGGAAGTGAGATTTCCCTTCACTTCCTGTCCTGCTGACAATGTATTACTAGACGGCAAGTGGAATTACTCCTCCAACAGCAACACAGACAGAAATAAAACAGATTTTATTCAGTGGAGTAGGAAGGAGACCAGAACTCATGACAGATATTTTTTTCCTATTTTGTGTCCCTGTTGCAGATTTTCTCAGTTCCGGTCTTGTCATTTGAACATGAAATGACAGTAAGCCCTGGTTCAAACTGAATGTGACTTTAAAATCACACTACTTCAACTGAAGTAGCACAATTTCAAAGCCGCTGGTTACTGCGATTTCATGTGTGGCTTGCATGACATCTGTGCGGCTTCATGCACAGATGTCTATGCAAGTTGCACATGAAATTGCCAAAAGCAGTGCAGGAATTTTTTTTAAAATCGGCGCCGCACCTCAAAGTGGGAGCCACACTGATTTCACCGGTTCCCAGAGATAATCCCGCAAAGAGAAATGTGCTATAAGAAACCAATGATGGAACTACAGTACTATAGCCTTCCTGAAGTATTTTCCTTTACTATCACAGACTATCAGGATAAGGAAGCCCTAGCTACCACAAATTACCACAGAAACATACATTAAAAGAACGGCTTCATTTTCCATCCCAAAAACATTAAAATCTAATCTAAAAGGAAAAATCCTCCCTGTGTATCCACCTCCCTTTCTCAATATTGCAATGCATTATTGGCTTCAGAAAGTGTTTTAAGTGAAGGTGCCTAAAAGGTAGCACACTCTGTAGTTCCTACAAATAGCTGTGTTGGTGTTCAGACCCATTCCTATTTCCAAGTGAAGCCTCTTAAAATTTAGGCCCAGGAGGCTATACAGCAGACATTAGGTGCTACCCAAGCTCAGGTTAAAGGTGACACTAAACTTTGGTTGAAGTCTATTCCAGTATGTATTTTTAAAGTGGTTCTAAAGTCTAAAATGTCCCACAAAATTGTTACCCCCCACCTCCCATCCCTAACACAGATCCAACAATCCCTGCTCTTCCGTTTTCCTTGTCTCAAAGGAGACACTGAGGGCAACGGAAGCCATAGGCTCCTACTGTCAAAGACCTGTGAGGAGGGGGCAGTGTGTGTCTATGGACGTAGACAGCCTGGCAGCTCACACGCACGGCACCCCCCATAGCACACGGCTTGCTAAGGGAGCACCCAGAGGAAGAAGGAGCAGCAGCAACTGCGTAATGCTATCAGGTCAATATGGACCAAAATCTGAGGAATGTTTCAAACACATTGTTTGAAGTGAATCTATGCTACAAAGAATTAAGGCAGGTTTGAAGGCAAAAGGGGGTCCAACCCAGTACAAGCAAGGTGTACCTAATAAAGTGGCTGGTGAGTGTAAATTGACTATTTTCAGAGAATGAGGGTATCATTTAGTGTCACTTTAAGCCCCCCACCTCTCCTGGTACCAAGCCCTGACCTATGTCCTTGCCAACTGAGGCTTTGGCATTTGACAAATAACAGATGACAAGGCTTAGCCCACGAGGGGCTTAAAGTAGAACTTTACTCTCTCAATCAACATTTGCTATTTTTAATCCTTATGCTGCTAGCCCTACTAAATAGATAGAAAGGTGTTTTATATTCAAGAGGTTATATATTTAAACTTTTATTTTCAGTTACTTCCTGGTTCCTGGACTAGGCCAAAATTATGCTATATATTCAAGGAGTCATTCTTTCTCCTTTCATCTGGGAGGAGGGGAGGAGGCATTTTCTAAGCTTATCACACCTTCCCGTCTAAGGGCAGATGGATTCCAGGAAGTAAATGAGACACAAATCATTTGCCCTTACTCAAGATAGAAATGCTACAGGGTTGTTTTTCAATGTGATTTCTTTTAATATTAAAAATGAATTAAATGATGTTTCCGGTTTGTGGTGCTCAGATACAGTTAAGTTCTGCCGTAATCCTAGCTTAGAGAGAATTTGAGCCCCTGTGATCAGCCAAGGCCAAAAATTCAAGCTCTCAACATTAATTATTTTAAAGGATCAACACAAGTACTAGTGGGCAGGACAAGACCCCCAGTTTTGTACTCTTGTTACCTGAACTTTCTGGCCAGATAAGCTTCCCTTTAAGCCTTTAAAATTATCTTAGGAAACAAAACAGGTATGATAATTGCAGTTGAATTCTAAATATATGATTCATTAACTTAAAGAGTTCTTTCCACCAAATAAATATATCTATGCAGTATTTGTATTACAAAAATACAAATACTGCTGTAGCCACACTTTGATTGTCCCCTTATAGCGGTATTAAACCCCGAAACTAAAAATGTAATATATTGCAGCTTATTAATTATTAGATATGATGTCTGCATTGTTTTTTGGGTGTTTTTTAAAGGCTTTTTTTCCCCCTCTATTTTTACCTAGTGATCTTGCCATTAACACACCTATATTAGTGAGACGCCACCAGGGGCGGACTGACCATTCGAGCGCTCTGGCAGTGCCCGAGGACCTGGGGTCAGTAGGGGGCCCCAAGAAATGTCCCTGGTACCTTTTTTATAGACTTTTTTGAGTGTGGGCAAGGACACAGGGGCCCCATGATCCTCTACTGCCCGGGGGCCCCATGAGTTGTCAGTCCGCCCCTGGAGGCCACTCTGAATGAAGGACAGCAGCAGCATTGTTAATCTGGGCAGAGGGGAGTATTAGATGTGCTAGAAGATTTAAACACAATAACAAATTGAAGCCAAACTCCAGCAACGTTTTATGTTCCTTTTGGGACAAACGGGTTTTACATAAGTAAATAACAGATGATCATCGTAAGCACATCTGTCATTGTTGAATGATTTGTCTCATCCCTGTAACCGCTACATCTGCAAGAGAGCTTGTTCTTTTGAAAGAAGACAGACTTAGTGGCAGGGTCAACAGATGAAAAAAAAGAAAGGAAGCCTAAAAACAGAAAACTAATGCAGCCATCACATCTAAAAATTGATAAACTGCAATACAATTCCAGGAAGTAATTGCTACATTAATGATCTGCCCTTACTGAAGATAGCCACAACCAGAAATGCTAGGGGGTGTTTTTCTAAGTGATTTTTAAGCAACATAAAGCATACAGACATGGATGGATGGGTGAGTTTGCTTTGAATATTAAAAATGAATTAAGTAGTGCTTTTGGTTTGTGGTGCTCAGATACAGTGTAATTCCACCTTAATTGCCCTGTAACTATTTTTCATTAAATCATTTTTCTGTGTTTGTCTGCCTCCTTGTAACATCCTCTGTAAGCTCCGGAATCTCTGCCTTTCCCCCTCTCACTTCAGTGTGTTTGGAATGGGTAGTGCACAGTAGTTGTGGTGCACTATAAACACTACTAATCTCAAAGTCCCCGGTCCATCCCAAGGGTGAGCAACAAGAGAGGGTGTCTATGTTCCTACATTCAGTGGGACCAAAGAGAATGAAAATAGCCTTCCTCTAAGAGGAAACTGGATGACAGCAAAAAAAATGTAAACTACATACTTGAATGGAATTTTAGTTATTTTTCATCAGACTTTAAGGTCGCATTGAGTCTATTTATGTGACCTATTAATATTCCAGGTAGTCTACATCATACAGCTAACTTCAATAAAGATGGCAAACAGAGAAGAATAGTTGGACAAATGCCAAACTAAACACAGTATATCATGTCATACAGTTTCTGCATGATTCTTAACATATTAAAGCAACTTTGTTGGAAGAAGGTTTTAGAAACAGAAGTATAAAGTCACCTCTTTTGCAGGGTAATTATTTTTTTAATACATTTGTAACTCCGTGACAGAGCCACATTGATTTTCTAAAGAAGCAAAAAATCTGGAAACTATCCTAAAACAAAATCCCACCTTTAGTTTCCAAGCGACTTCACTGACTGGTAGTTCACTCGCTTTTTTCGAAGACAATACAGGAATCATTGTATCATTTTCAGGGTTCGAGGATTCATGAAATTTTGAAGCCTGCAAGAAAATAAATATTGTAGTAGTTGTCAGCATATCGGTAAATAAAATTTTAAGCGAACTTCAAAATAACAAATTATTATTATACAGTATTTTTATAAAGCCCCAACAGTTCGCTCAGCGCTGTACATTACAAAGGGGGGCAGAACATGCGACAGAACAATAACAATACAATAATACACGAGGGGTTCGAGGGCCCTGCTCTTTCGAGCTTACAATCTAGGAGGGAGGGGATAGACGTACAGGAGGAGATAGCTGTGGGGGATGGAGTGGTAGGAAGAGTGCAGGAGCTCGGCAATTAGCAGGGGTGGGGTAGGCTTCCCTGAAGAGGTGGGTTTCCTAAAGGAGAAGAGAGTAGGTGATAGTCTGATGGGTTGGGGTAGGGAGTTCCAGAGGATAGGTGACACCCTGGAGAAATCCTGGGGGCGGGCATGGGAGGAAGAGACCAGGGAACTAGAGAGAAGAAGGTCTTGTGAGGAGCGGAGTGTGCGTGTTGGGTGGTACTTGGATATTAGGTCGGTGATGTAATTTGGTGCAGTATGGTGGACAGCTTTGTACGTCATGTTAGGATTTTGAATGTGATCCGTCGGAAGCCAGTGGAGGGATTGGCAGAGGGGGGTGGCGGAGACGGAGTGGTTGGTAAGGTGAAAGAGTCTGGCTGCTGTATTCAGGATCGACTGAAGCGGGGATAGCCTGTGGCGAGGCAGGCCAGTGAGGAGGGAGTTGCAGTAGTCGAGTCGTGATATGATGAGGGAGTGGATGAGCTGTTTAGTGGTTTCTGGGGTTAGGAACGTGCGGATTTTGGCGATGTTGCGGAGGTGGAGTCTGCATGAGTTAGGTAGTGATTGGTAGTGACTGGAAGGATAGGTTGGAGTCCAGAATGACATCAAGTACTCTGGCTTGCGGGGCAGGCCTGATAGTAGCATTGTTGGACGTGATGGAGAAGCCAATGGGGGGTGGTGTGCGGGCTGGGGGGAAGACCAACTAAAACAAGCAAAAAGGAAAAAATAAATAAAATTGGTAGATAAAACCTCAATCAATATAATAAAGGATAGTGTTAAGCAATATAGCTTACACTGGGCAACCTAACATTTTAACATCATGTTACATTCACTCCCTTCAAGCCATAACATTATTGGCTAGAATAAAGCCAGCCATAGATGGATCAAATATCAGCCAGGACCAGACGAGATTCAATCCATCTATGGACAGGCTGGTTGTACTGAAGTCGATTTATCAATTTACTTCAGTACAACCAGCCTGTCATATTTGTTTCATGAGATCGCTGCTGGCAGCTATTGCCCCCCAGCAGTGATCGTTGTGTTATGCTGGCAGGATAGGCTCCCACCAAGATCCCAGCTGGCAGAACACAAGAGCGTCGCGGGAGGAACATCAACACTGACAGGAAATTGAGCAAGATTCTCTCTTTCCACCTATGATGGAAGGAAAAAAATTGCATAATCTATGGGCTGTTTAAGGCCTCATTTACATAGCATTTACGTGCTTGAGTATTCCAGGCTGAGCTATCGCAACTATCTGTCTCCATTTGTGAATTTAACAGAATATTCTGGATTTGTGCTGCAAATGCTGGATTTGTGCTGCATAAATGCTGTGTGAATGAAGCCTAAAACCTTAAAATACTTAATAGTAAAAATCCTCTCACTACTGTGTAGTAAATACTATCACAAGAATGATTACATTAAAAAACAAGTGACGCTTCAAAATTAAAAAAAAAAAAAAAGAGAAGTGGCTATAAAAGGCATTTACAGATCATTCACAAAGTACAATGCCAACAAATTTGCTATTATTCTTATCTAGGCAGATCTAAATATTAAGGGCTGCGTGTACACGTCTGCTTTTCAGAAAAGCACTTTGAACTCAGAAAATAATAAACCACACATGAAGCAACAAATGTTTCTCTGGACTGCACACCAATATAGTGAATTACAAATCAAATAATCACAAAATGGCTTCAGAAATCCATCATAAAAGCCCTCTATAAAACAAACACAATTCAATGGGTTTCAAATACGTGCACTCTCTGGTGACTGAGGCTGTTTCAGTGTCTCTAGAAAACATTACAGCGATTGTAAAAAATTTTTGTTTTTTTTTTTAAATAACAAACATGTAATACATACCTGTTCTGTACAATGGTTTTGCAGAGAGCAGCCTGGATCTTCCTGTTTTGGGGTCCCCTTGGTGCTCCCGGCTCCTCCTCTACTCTGTTTGCCACCACAGTAAGCCACTTCCTATGGTGGCAGAGATGCAAGCTTCATCATGAGCCACGTTCTGTGTGTCTACTGACACACACAGTACACCCCCCCCAACTGGATTTGATTGACAGCAGCAGGGGCCAAGGGAGAGAGCAGTGCCTCTGCTCTCAGACACAGTGCTGGATATTGAGATAGGGCTCTGATAAGCATTTGGAGGGGAGTGACAACAGAAGGTCTTTTTTACCTTAATGCAGAGAATGTCTAAATCTTTACAACCACTTTAACCACTTCTTGACCATGCTATAGCTAAATGACAGCTACAGCATGGTCGTTCAGTTCTGTGAGGGCGTCATATGGGAGCGGCGTGCACACTGCGCTCTCTGATCGCTACAGCTGATCACATGACACAGTAAAGGGCCAATCACAGCGGCCTTTTACCACGTGATCAGCTGTGTCCAATCACAGCTGATCACCATGTAATTAAACTTGCCGGATATTGGCAGTACTTTCCTCCCGCTGTCACAGCATGCCGATAACTGACAACTGTGAAAGGATTAATCTACACCAGGGGTCCTCAAACTACGGCCCGTGGGCCACATACGGCCCGCCGAGCACATTCATCCAGCCCGCCAGCAAGGGACACTAAGTACAGGGGCGGGCAGGGGGCTGCTGTCTCTTACCTGGCTCCAGTCCCACGACGATCCAGACCAGGATGAGCTGCTCCTTCACTCCGGCCGCTCCCTCGATGTCTGCGCTGCCGCTCGGCTCTGCCTCCTCACCGATGATTGGGTGCCAGTACTGTAGCTCAGGAAAGGCACAGGCGGCCAATCACCGGCAAGGAGGCGGAGCCTCGCGAAAATCAAGGGAGGGAGAGGCCGGAGTGAAGGAAGGAGGACAGTTGACCGCCCGGTAAGTGTGCCGTGCAGATGGTACTGCTGCAATCAGGTATGTTGGCTGCAGCAGCACCATGCTGGAACAGGGGTCGGCTAGTTAAGTGTCATTGCTGTCAGTGGGAGGAATAGTGCCCCATCATTGGTGTCACTGATAATAATGATGGGGCATTATTCCTCCCACTGACACCAACGATGAGGCACTATGCCTCCCCCCACTGACACCAACGATGGGGCACTATTCCTCCCCCCACTGACACCAACGATGGGGCACTATTCCACCCCCCCCGGCACCAATGACGTACTATTCCTCCCACTGACACCAATGATGGGACACTATTCCTCCCACTGACACCAATGATGGGACACTATTCCTCCCACTGACACCAATGACGGGGCACTATTCCTCCCAATGACACCAATGATGAGGCACGATTCCTCCCACTGATACCAATGATGAGGCACTATTCTCCCACTGACACCAATGATGGGGCACTATTTCTCCCCCAATACCAATGATGGGGCACTATTCCTCCCACTGACACCAATGATGGGGCACTATTCCTCCCACTGACACCAATGATAGTGGCACTATTCCTCCCACTGACACCAATGATAGGGCACTATTCCTCCCACTGACACCAATGATGGGGCACTATTTCTTCCCACTGATCACCAATGATGGGGCACTATTCTTCCCACTGACACCAATGATAGTGGCACTATTCTTCCCACTGACACCAATGATGGGGCACTATTCCTCCCACTGACACCAATGATAGTGGCACTATTCCTCCCACTGACACCAATGATAGTGGCACTATTCCCCCACTGACACCAATGATGGGGCACTATTCTCCCACTAATACCAATGATGGGGCACTATTCCTCCCACTGACACCAATGATAGTGGCACTATTCTTCCCACTGACACCAATGATGGGGCACTATTCCTCCCACTGACACCAATGATAGTGGCACTATTCCTCCCACTGACACCAATGATGGGACACTATTCCTCCCACTGACACCAATGATGGGACACTATTCCTCCCACTGACACCAATGATGGGACACTGTTCCTCCCACTGACACCAATGATGGGACACTGTTCCTCCCACTGACACCAATGATGGGACACTATTCCTCCCACTGACACCAATGATGGGACACTATTCCTCCCACTGACACCAATGATGGGACACTATTCCTCACACTGACACCAATGATGGGACACTATTTCACTCCATAAGACACACTTGGGGGGAAATGTCTGTGCGTCTTATAGAGCGGCCGGCCCAGTATTCCCACCGCCATTGTATGTCTGCAGTCTCTGAACAAATGCGGACACAGTACAGGAGATGACCATAGTTTTTTTTTTTTTTTAAAAAACTATAGTCCGGCACTCCAACGGTCTGAGGGACAGTGAACTGGCCCCGTTTAAAAAGTTTGAGGACCCCTGATCTACACTGATAATCAGGGCCGTGATTATCAGTGCAGCCCCAAAAGTGCCCAACAGTGCTGGATATAAATGCAGCCTCATCAGTACCTCCTCATCAATGTCCACCAGTGCTGCCTCATCAGTGCCTATCAGTGCTGCTTATCAGTGCAGCCTCATCAATGCACATCAGTGAAGGAGAAAAATTACCCGTTTGCAAAATTTTATGATCGAAACAAAAACTTTTCAAAATTTTGTTTATAGTGCAAAACATATAAAAACCAGTGGTGATTAAATATCACCAAAAGAAAGCTCTATTTGTGTGGGAAAAATTCTAAAAAGTTAATATGGGTACAGTGTTTCATGACCGTGCAATTGTCATTCAAAGTGAGACAGTTCTGAAAGCTGAAAATTGGACTGGGCAGGAAGGAGGTATAAGTGCCCAGTAGGCAAGTGGTTAATCTGTTCT